CAGATTGTCTCTTTCTTCAACAACCTGCGCAAGGGAGCGGCGATAGTGGAGAAGTTCCTCACGAACTTCCTGTAGTAGTTAGCTAAGCCTAGGAACGACCGCAACTCTGTCAATGTGCGGGACGTCGGCCAATCTCTGATCGCCGCAATCTTGTTGCCCTCTGGCTTAATGCCATCTCCGTCCAACACRTGGCCCAAGTATAAGACTTGCGTCTTGGCCCACTCGCACTTCTTCGCGTTGATCTTGAAGTTAGCCTCTCTAAGCTTCTCCAAGACCTGCCTCAGATGACCCTGGTGCTCTTGGAGGGTCTTACTAAAGACTAGGATATCATATAAGTAGACTACTACAGATTTATCTAACCATGGTCTAAACAGGTCATTCATACAACGCTGAAAAGTAGCTGGCGCGTTGGTCAGTCCAAAGGGCATCACTATAAACTCATAATGCCCATATCTAGTCCGGAATGCAGTCTTGTACTGATCATCAGGATAGACTTCTATCTGATGATATCTGGACTTTAAGTCTATCTTAAAGAAATACTTACAACCCTGCATTCGATCTAAACGGTCGTCTATCCTGGGCAGCGGCTCGGCATTCTTCACTGTGATCGCGTTCAAACCCCTATAGTCTATACACATGCGAAGCTCTCCTTCCTTCTTGGGGACAAACAAAATGGGTGCTCCAAGAGGAGACGAACTGGGCCTGATCCAACCTTTCTCAAGGAGTTCATCTAACTGCTTGCGGAGCTCCTCTAACTCTCTAGGGGACATTCTGTAGACTGCACCCTTAGGAGTTCTACTACCAGGCTCTATCTCTATCTTGTGCTGGATGGGTCGCGACACTACTCCTGTTGGCGACTCAGTCAAGTCTTTGAATTCTTCCAGCAGCTTGGCAAATTGTTGGATATGTGGAACTATCATTTTCCTGGGCCTCAGTGACAGGTCTGATATATACTACAAAGACCTGGTCTTCTAACTGTTCCTTCTTTACTAATCGCGCGAATGCGGGAGCACTGAGACAACAATGTGTCAAGGTGTTATCTACACCAGACACATGTAACAAGCGGGCACTCTTAACCTCGCCTGACGGGCTAGGGAGCCTACACTCATGCTCTCTCAAATGAAGTGTGGCCCCTGCTGCCTCTCCCCAATCCATTCCTAACACTATATCGAAAGGAAGGTCATCCTGCACGAGGAGAGTCAAAGAATGAAGGACCTTCTCCACTTTTTCATTCTTCTCTAGGCGAAAGTACGCCTGGACTCCCTCTACGTAGTCCTCAACGCACATCGTGTGGTTGTCTGCGAGGACACTAGCTATGGGGTCCACTAGTTTCTGGACCTTTAGTCCTAGGCTCAACTTTTTCAGCGCCCTACGGCTAATGTAACTACGGGTAGCCCCTGAGTCTATAAGGGCCCCTACTCTACTTCTGAACACCTCTACATCTACCAAAATCAGTTGTCCCTTACTCTCCCTTTTCATTTTGGCCCAGGTTGGCATTCTCTCTTTTAACTTTTCTGCCACACCTGTGAGGGACGTGCCTAAAGACACGCTAACATAAGCAGTCTCTGGACAGCTATCTATGCACGGGTCTGCAACCTCTGCCATAGGCTCATGTGGGTTGGGAGTATCCTGTTCGCGCGC